TAAATTGGATAAGGTAAAAGGTTATTGGCTATTTAACAAGAAACTAGGTGTTTATAAACTAACAAACCAAATACCTTATACATTTACATGAGAAACCTAACTGCGGAGATAAGAACATGAGAGCTTTGATTGAGTAATTTTGTGGAAATCAGTGATCCCAACTGACTCAATAATCAGAAAAGAATTGAAAAGGAATATATATCGTAGCACAAAAACGTTATCGTGAGATTTTGCCTTTGAAACGAAAAGCTAATGCGCGCCTCATTTTGCGCAGAAGTGGTTAAGTCTATTCCAGGGTGATGTTTCAAATGTGTGAGTATTGCGATATAAAGCAACGTCAATTTTGTCATCTTAACTACTATACGCTTTAATGGATTCGTCTTGATTTTAATCGCTTGGACATGAGTCAACTGAGATTTATCCGCGCGTTGGTGTTCGTCACGGTGAACTTGCAGAAGAAGTAGGATGATCTAATCTTCTCCTCAAACAATTGTTGACCGAATGCTGTCAGGGTATATTTCAGTTATAGAAAATAGTTCGTTCGGGTTCTGCTGTTGTCGGTAGGGCAACAGTGAGATGTGGTAATGTATGCAAATAGGAAAATACATCACCTGGCAGTCGCCTAAAGCGCCATAGCGTCATTTGCTACTGTACTTGTTCCCGTGGACAGCCATTGCTGCTTCCAAATTTCAATACTCTCCTTCAACAATGGAAAAGGGGTGCAAAAAGACTCCGCTATTTTAGGCTGCAGGAAAATATTCTTGCCAAGTTATTCTTATGACCGAACCAAGGCAGAATTCTTGTAATAGCGTCGCATCTTCTCCTGCTGATGGGGACCAAATCTTGCTTTCAAGATCTCCAAGCCCACTTCATCAAGAAAGTAACAAACACATGTGAACCGGATATAAATCAAATGGCTTTTTGATTGGCTCACCTGCATTTGATCGAACCTGGATTGACCGACTGCTTCGAGGAATTGCGCTGGCATCTCTCTCTGGTCACGTCCAATATTTTTCGCGCCAAGAAAGCATTCCTCTTCAAACACTCGACAGCAAACATCATTTTTCTTCACTTTACGGCCACGTGTAAAGCTTTGACTGGTGTCGCAGACAAATCTCGACAATTGGCTTTCACAAATCGCTACCAATTTGTTGCAGAAGAACGGGACATCTGGGCCGAAGTACAGCAGACAACTTTCTCGGCGCAATACTAGCGTACTACCAAGGAAACTGAGGGTCTTGCAAAACTGTTTTAAAAATCTCTGGCATCTTTTCTTGTATCTAAGAGTCCCCAGCGAGCAGTTTCCTCCAACAACCAACGGTAAGGCAAAAAAGCTGTGCAGTGAACCAAAACGATTCATGTCTTTCGACAAATCTTGTTTCAAAGAGGTCACTCAACTGCCGTTCCGCTGAAGCTCTTCCAATTGATTCTCGTTGCTATGACTGCTTGCGAAATAGCTTGTTCTTTCCGCATGCTTGAAGAAATTGGTTGATTATCTTTGATGTCAATCCATGCAATTCTGATGCTGGGTATCGTTTGCGGCTCGCCGAGGAACAACTTAGATTTAGCGTCGGTGCATGCAGCATGGAAGTAGTCAGCCGAAGTGGCGGCGCAGATATGATTAAATTCGAGCAAACACCAACCTCGCTCATCTGACAATTCGATGCAGCACCATTCAATATTCCTGACCAACGACGGTTACTGTGCAAATCCCAACCCAAGCTCACTTAATATGGCGGAGTAAGCAGTCTCCCCTATTGCCTTGCCACACTAGCTTAATTTCATTGTGCTCTGTCTTGTGCGATTGGTCACTGCTTTTTACTGTCTGCAATCAGGTCTAACAATTGCGAACCGGTTTCTTCTTTGATAATTTTTGAGCGACATTTTTTGTGTCAACGAACGAATTGCGAATGACCAACTGTTCTCGTTTCGCACAATCTTGGGTTTCGTCGGCCATTATTGTCCAGAATTTTGCATTTTTTACATCTCTTACTATGTCCTCTTTGACAATATTTCCTGCACAGGCAATTAGCTCGTTTTGTATCGTTTTGCTTACCAAAGAAGCATTGCGTTTGCAAGATTTCAAGTGATCTTTCAAGTTTGTATCTCCTCCCCGTACTCTCAATCGCAGCAATGCCCTGAAGTTTCCATCATTGTGCTTGGGTTCCATCCCAGTTGAATCTACTGGTCCATCATCACGATGGCCTCTAAGCGCAATATTTTGCCTGGCGCATGTTAGAAGGGTGTCGATGATGGGAACCAGCGCAGTCCTGTTTCTTTCAATCTCTTTCTGCCTTTCAATGTTCATTATTGATCGAACGTCCTTCTCACTCCCAGGTGTTGCACGGCTCAAGAACTCCGTGTACTTTATGGCACATGTCTTATGAAAAGATGTTTCTTGGTGACTTGTGAGGGCTCCATTTTTCCCTGTCAAGTCTGAAAAGTTTACAAGAGGCTTGTTAACAAGTTTGCCCATTGACTGGCCTGCTCCACCTCCGTATTGTGCACCTCTTCCACCTCCACTCTCGCACGTCTTGAATAAAACGCAATAAACACACCAAGCACCGCAACATTTTGGCTCTCTGCTGACAGCTAGCCAGGGGAAGGTTTTCAAGTGATTTTCACCCAGAAAACGCTTCGTTGTCGAGGACATACCAACCATGAGCTGATTCTTTGGTTTTTTCTTTTCAGAAAATGGATATTCATCCCTTCTCTGCGGCACCCACCTCTTCGATAAATATGCTTCCCTTTCGTTATCTGTCAGCTGTTCTCCTCGTTTTGTTTTCATTATAGCTCTACCAATGTCATATCTATCAGATATTGCAACATTTACTTGTGTCGCCATACAACAGAGGTCTGGGTGTGTTTCCTCTTCAGGACAATCCTGGACTACCGCAACTTGGCTTTGTGTGTCGAATTCTTCACCAGTAGATTTTGATTCAAATTCTTGGCAAGTGGTAGTTTCACATGTTTTAGAGATTTCAGGGTTATCTCCAACTGAACTGGTGCGGCTACTTTTTGAGAAGAATGATTCAAGAGTTCTTGATTTCTTTGGCGGACCAGACATTTTAATCAAACCTCCAGTCGGCTTTATTCTCTCGCTTTCAGTGAGGCAATAAGTTGCAAGTGGATGTGTAACACAAGAATTATGATAAGCCTAAAACAATAGTTCAATGCAAAATTAGATGTGACCGGATCTCGCGGCTCATATGGACTATGGTTTAACACAAATCATGACTGCGATCATGAATGAATGACGTCTGCAAACGTTAATGGTTGAGAAAGTTATGGCTAAAATGGGTTACAGTTCAAACATTGTTCATCGTGTTATTGCGATTGTGATACCCAAAAAGCGTCACTATTTCCAACAAAAGCAAAACAGTACCTATAACTACTCAGCTTTGCCTGTTATGCTGCGATGAATTTTTGGTGACTACCCATTTTGAAAATTTACCATTCAAATTAAACGCACCAAATACGTGGGGACTTTTGCTCATTTTCTAAATCTTTTTTTCATCTTAAGGGTACGTGTCTTATGCCGGCTTCTTGAACACAGGAATTATAATGTCATTCACGAACTCTGATGCGTCATAGTTCCCCTCCCAAGTCAAGCGCGAAAGCTGCTGACCAAATATTCAATATGAATATTTGTAAAGGCTGAAATACACGATCAGTTTTTTATGTCAGTTTTCCCCAAAGTTATTTCTATATCCGTTTTTCATCCGTTTAACTAAAGAAGCGCGTGTTTACACGATTAGCCAAAGTTCATCAATTTTTCATCATGTATTTTAGCCTTTACTTCGCTTGGAAGTTTCTCGCAGCAATGAAGTTTCTTAATTTTCAGTGTTCTGAGAGTGTACCTTCTTATGAAATTTTTTGATAGAAAGGGGCGTTTCCCGCGTTCGGTGAGACTTTGAAGGGCGTGTCTGTGAAATTTTCGCAGGCCTCCTCTTCTTTCATAAATGGCCCTCCCCAAACGCAGACGCTGGATCCGCCCCTGAGTGTAGGTAGGGTGGTAAGATTGGGGGGGGGGGCAATGTATAAGGTTTCTGCAGAAAAAAAATCTCATAAGAGCAACAAACTTTTAATGATTTACTGGGATGCACTTCCAGTTCTTTTCGTGAGCAAAATTATGTGTGTGTGGCAAATCGCACATGTAAACAAATTTGCATGTGCGATCGCACTTGTAAGAAAATTTGAAGTGCCAACTTGATAAAATTGGTAAAAGGAGCAAGAAAGGAATACATGCAAAAGCAAAACTCAATTCAATCAATGCATAACAGATTTTGTTGCCCATAGCAGCCATCTTTCAAAAGTCGTTGTCACTCTCCAAAGTTACAAGAGCAAATAAAAATTATTTTCAACAGCTACTTGCTTTCAGAGCACAATTACGTTTTGACAGGAAATCAGTTATTACACTTAACATGCTAATGGCGGCTTAGCTGAAAGACAAGACGCTAAGTTGAAAGGAGCATTCAGTCAAAAGCCAAACATCACTTCCAAAAGTTGGAAAAATCATATTGTGGTCAAAAGTGCTAATCAAGTAACGAGGGAAAAGGATAAACAATCATGAGACCATGGGAAATTAATATTAATAGAAAACTGCAAAAACACCTGTTTGCACTTGTGATGAAAAGCAAACGCAATTTAACTTGGGCATGCGCAGGCGTGTGCGGGTGCTATCGCACGCGCTAAACGAAAAGGACTGGCACTTCATATAATGACTGGCCTAAAAAGTTAAGTAAATGAACTTCAAGCAAATCAATTATGATGAGGAGGATGATGACATAATGATAACAGTTCCTTGATTCTGTTTGAGAGGTTATTTTGTAGGAACATTACCCAAGACAGGGGTGGGCAACCTACGGCCCGCGGCCAGAATCTAATAATTACACGAGATTAAATATATCATCTTATAATTTTTTTGAATAGCAAGGATGATTTTCGAGGGGTTGCAAATAATGAATTAAACATATCGATTCAAAATTAGATTATCTAATGTCTTCATCAAATTTGGGAATCATGGAAAGATTAGTTTACTATCTGTAATCAAGAATTCATCCTGCTTAAAGAAAGGACAGCAGAATCATTGAGGGACTGGGTGAAAGTTGACAAATGCAGCAAGGACAATTGCATTGGGCAGACTTGACCAGGGATCAGGGTTGTCCCTATTTTGTCATGTCTCAGTTGCCAGTGCCCCAGGGGCCTATATTAAATAATGTGAAGTGTAGAAAACCACTAAAACATCAAATAGTCGGCTGTAGACCGGTTTCACCCAAAATTAGGGCTGGTCAGTAAGGCTGAATGAGGACCCAATGCTGACCCAGGGCCAACAACTAGGCTGTCCATGGCAATGCATGTGGGACAGTGGCAATGCATATGGGAGATAGTGTCAACATTAAGCATCTGTTTTTCAGCTCAGACCATTCACTTTGACATACGTAAACACCAAATTTTCCAATTATGAAGGTATGCATCAGTCTTCGAGATTTGACAGTCTCTTATTACCAAAAACCGCACCTCAGAGCAGTGCTGAAGTCCTAATTTTTTTCCTTTCCACTGGAAAGCTGGAGTGCTTTATGATTTTCTTAAAGAGACTGTAAAGATTCTAAAACTCATGCATACTTTCTATATTGGTAAATTTGGTTCATACGTGTATAAAAATTAATGGTCTAAGCTAAAAGGTTGATGCTAAACCATGATTGGTGGATGATTCTTCAAACCCTGAATCACATCCTTTTTAATTTTGGTTGGTTATTTCAGTTTTCCCTTTTGAGCTAACGACTGTAACAGTTATTTCTATCATTGCAACTATCTTTGTAAAAGAGAAGTTTGTACTTTTAGTGTAGCTGAGTTAAAATGAAAGTTTTCATAACTATCATTATCGTTTTATTACAACTATCGATTTCATTCTTCTTATTGCCTTTGTCCCACCTAAAAAAGGTTTGAAGGATCTTGCCCAGTCCCCAAGATGGTTGCCCGCCTCTGATCCAAGAGCTACTTCCAGGCATTGAAGATTCACAGCATCCCAGAGGTTACAGTTAAGAGGTTTATATAGTTAGGGAAAGCTTGCACCAGGAGAGACAGAGCTTTGATTTTCATCGGTAAAAAACAAAAAATCCCTTTTAGTAATCTTTATTTTACAAGTTGTTTGCAATCTTTGAAAATATGCAGACAGTGTCTTTTGAAATGGCAAATAAAAAAAGGCAATGGATGTTAAGAGAAAGGTTTTTAAAATAAAGTTCAAACTTACCTTTTTCTGGAATTGTTTCAATTTGTCTCTTTGATTTTTGAGTGACTGCAAGATAGAAACATCATTTAAGGTACAAGGTTGTATCAGATTCAAATTACTTAAAACTCAAACTGAAGGACATCAAAACATTCTGAATAACAGGCCTTTTCATAAGAGCCTGTTACTTAGAATGTGCATTAGTGGCCTATGGCTCCTATGACTTCTTATTTGCGAGTGATCGCTCTGGGTAAGAAAACTAATAAAAATGAATTTCCATCCAAAAATGAATAAACATGCCGTTTTAATTTTTTTTTTACAAATAATTTAAGAATATCCATAACTTTTGAAAATCTTCATATTAATTCAGTTCCTTATGCAGTCATTGACAGGCCTTTTCCTAAGAAAGACCAAGGTTTTCCTTTTGTAAAAGATAACCTATGTTTATAATGAAGGTCAACAACTCCAAAAGTGTTCACTCCACAACATTGTAAAAAATACAATCTTATGATAGCATACTTTGGTATTAGATAACATTAAATGAAAATTGATGTTTCAATGATCCTTGACGCACCCCAAGAAAGATTAAATACCTAATATAAATGTGCTTCATTTAAAAATTTTTGCCTTCATCACCAAGATCATATAAAGCACCGATATCGCTTGTTTGGGTCACCAAAGATGTGTCTATTGTTGAAATATTTATTCATCACAATTAACCGTTTTGCCCAGGTGATCAAACATTTGTATGGTTGAGTTTGCATAATAAATTCCACTTAGAAAACAACCCTTTTTTAGAAAACAAATAACATCAATGAAAGTCTATTTGAAATGGAAATTTTTTTATTGAGATAAGAAACTTGCATAACACTGTGATTTTTGTCTTGTTTTCTGGTGTGAGGCTATTCTAGTGCTTAGGTTTTAAAGATCATTTTTTTGACGCATTTGTCTGAGCATCCTCTTCTTTTCAAAGTCTAAATTATGGATTTGCCATCATTTCAAAAGAGGTATCATCCCTTGGAGAACAGCTACCCCAAAATTATCCAAACTTTATGGCAGGAGCGGACACTTGGTCAAATATTGGGGGGAAGCCTATTGTTTTAATATGATGAGGTCACATTTCTCATTGTTTAAGAATAAAAGGCCATTGTCCCCTAAAGTATTGGGGGCAGTCGCCCCTTGCCCTCAAGTGTCTTCCACTGCTGTATGGAGTAAATATCTTAACAGTTTTCTATCATAGACATTGTTATGATAATAATAGCTGACTTGCATTGCATTATGCTTACATTATACCTTATTTGGCCCTGTTAGAGAGTATTCCCTTTATTACTTGCTCTCCATTACCTTTATAGACCGACATGCCACAACACCTGACTTGTTTATTTGAGTCGGATAAATATTTGGAAATAGCATTTAATTGGAAAATAATCAGATTCAAAGGGAAACAAGAAATGTTAAATCAAACAACAAAGGCAGATTATAGAGAATATAGAGAATATAGAAATATAGAAAATATTAAATTGGTCTTCTAATAGATATTCAAGACTCCAGATACAGCTAATTTGCTGAGTAAATGAAATTTCAACATGCAAACAGCTAGTTTTCTTATGTTCTTGCCACACTGCAAAGTTTGGGAATGTGCACAATAATTTTTTCCTTATTCCGTCAGCGCATTTTTAAATATAGATTTATCCATGCAGTTGCAGCACAGAGGCTTAGAAATGCTATTTAAAATTGAAATCCAACAGCTTTTAACCTGCTATTGTGCAACATGGTTTGTTTCCACAGAAGCATAAGTGGCAGAAAACAATTCCCTGAACACAAAAAATACTTTTGCACTCTGGGGTTCTTGTTTGTACTACTGCATACAGCACATCAAATGCAAGGGATTCAGAATTTATTTTTACAAGAACAGTTTTGTTTCAAATTCTTATATTCACCTATTTATTTCTAGATATGGTTTATACCAATAGCAGTGAAAACCAATGGTTATCAAATTTTTGAGTTTTATCAGAATTTAGTTTGAAGTGCTGGACAGGACAAATATTGAGGTTTTTGTCGATTCTATGACAATAAAATTCGAAGTTGGCATGCAGTTTTCTGAACATCGCCTGGCATCACCAATTATTCCAGATGGGTATAATGGGACACAATGTTTGGGCCAACACAAAATGCAACTTGTGCATGTTTGTGTTTGTTGTAAAGGCCTAAGCCTGGTTTATTTTATCGAGGGCACTGATGGCAATATTAAGTACACTTTACCAGTATTGCTTTATCCTGTTCGGTTATCCTGTTAGCCTTCTTGGGCTGTTCCTTCCTAGAAAATAATCCACCCATTGCTTCCACCAGCCCACATGAAACAGAAAATCATTTCCTGACCATTTTGAACAGGTTCCTGTTATTCAGTTGCTGCCTCTCTTCCATTTCTTTGCCCGGATAGAGACCCACAGCAATTAGCAATTTTCTTTGTAACTGCACTAAACATGATTTATTTTTCATTGATTGCAAATGAAAACTTCATTATCATAAGAGAATTCAGAATGATAAAAGGAATTCTCATAAAACTCAACACATAACGACATAAACATGGCCCTAATTAGCAGCCCTAGACAGCAGACTGACTGGAACATTCGAAAGGTTTTTAGCCAAAATACAAAAGTGAAACTACAGGATGATGTCAATTGTGTATCTTTGATAAATATACTATACTTGCTTTTGTGTTGTGCATGTGATCTCAAGGTCACGATATGGAGCAGTGCTTCTTTGCTTTTTTTTATTGTGCAAGACAAGAAAAATTTTTTTGGGTCAATTTCTAGGCTAAAAATTATTTTTTGGGCTGATGGTTCGTACCCCCAGCCTGAGCACCCGACATATATATATATGAGAACTCCCCCTGGGAATCAAAGTGTCACTATAATTACAATGAAATGGTGAAAGCCCCCTCTAAAGTCTCTTCAAAAGTTCAATGTTTTCAAACAACATTAGGTAAACCAATAAGGCCCCGTTTACACGAGAGAAAAAGGAACGGATCCAAAAGATCCGGACCTTTTAGGTACGATATGGGTACGATCCACAAGCGTTTACACGAGATCGGATCCTAAACTATAAAGCGTTTACACGGGAACGGACCAAAATCGAATCGCTTTTTTTAAGCATGCGCAATGACAAGGTAAAATGCAAAATGAAAAAACTTAGAGACTGTTAGGTCGAAATACGAAGACATTCTCCTTCAATTTATCGAGGCCTATCTAGAAATAACAACAGAGAACTTTCCAAATACCCAGGATAAAAAAAAATAACAAAAGAAAAGGTGAAAAAAATTAAACCATGATGAAGACAGGGTTCAGAAAGGCTTTCGACTGTGAAAGAAAGAGCGGGGGTGGGAGAGTAATTTTTTTGTTGTATGATGAGTGCTGCGTACAATTGAAATGGCCTCCACTGACCCCAGCAACAGTCTCGTTTTACTGCCGTGCCTTTGCGGATCCGTATCTTCCTGTTTACACGGCGCCGATGAAGGTACGGATCCAAATGGATTCGCTTTCGAATCGTATCCAAAAAGGTACGGATCTCTCCCAGAAAAGATACGGATCCAGCCGTGCCCGTGTAAACGCAAGGCCTATCGTAGCCAGTTTGGGCACGGATCTATGCGGATCCGTTCCCGTGTAAACGGGGCCTAAATTTCCTTCTGTCGTGCCATCGGTTTCACGGGGAGATTCTTTTTCGTGACTCTATACACAGCACACCATGCAAAGTTTGGTTGCTATCCAAGAGTTACTTTTATGGGTCTAAAGTTTGACAAAACTTATTATTGGCTCAGTCAATTGGACAGTTACTTTTTGGGGGTCATTAAATTCCGACTTATTCTTTTAATCTTGAATATGAGAAAAACATGATTTACAAATGAAACATTGGCCACCGATTCACGATGTAGACTTCATAACCACAAGACTATTGAGAACGACATTAGTAGCACTCACAAAGCCAACTAGGTCAATATTATAGGGCCCTTAGACAGATGACTGACAGGAAACTTTGAAAAATTTGACCACAATCCTAAAATGAACCTTCAAAATGTACATTGTAAGACTGCATATATAATAAATACAGTGTACTTTGCAATTTATGGGCAAAGGCAAGACAAAGTTTTTTGGGTCAATTTTTATGCCAGAAATTATTTATTTGAAGTGATGTTTTGTGTCGCAGCCTGAGGAACTCTATTCTAAATGTAAACGAGTGCCCCCTCCCCCGCTAGGTTGCCATTAAGTGACGGGTAAATAGAGAGCCCCCTCCCAGCTCAACCACAGGGGTACCCTTTCTTAAATAAGGAAAGGTTTATTTCGATGTCTATAGCTAAATGTAATTAGTATGTAGGAAGTTTTTGTGAGCAGCTACCACACCCCTCTTGAAGTCCATTTATCTACTTCCTTCGTTTGCTGTTTGTCCATTACAGTTGCTTGAGCTTTCCGCAAATCTCCTTCAGTTCGTATTTTCAGAAAAACGCAGAGCATGAACCGATTCCATGCACGGTTTGTGGACCTATGAAAATGATGGTAAAAATGGACGACCCCTAACAGCAATAACTAACAGACCACCAAACAGAGTGCTTCCCTTCCATTATTTTAGGTAATTTAACTTTGATTTCTTCGGTTAATCAAGGTAAGTAACTTGCTCCAAAATACTATCAAATTCATTGTCTATAATTATTAAAGGCAAATTTATATCCAATAATAGAAAATTTGATCCTTAACTAGAGGTTCTATATCTGTAAAATCAACCAGAAAAAAGTAGAGGGAAACGAAAAATTGCGATTTATAAACTGTCTTCAAAAATAACGTCGAATTTAGAAATTTACAATTACTTGACCTTAGTACATATAGCGTTAATTTTGCAAGCAAAGAAGACGAAATTGGAAAAAAATTTAGTAAGAAAAGTGCTGGGTTTAGATTCCTTTTGCATGCGTACAGAGTTCGTTTCAAAAGTTCTACCCCATCAGTTGAGTCGCTGACTTATATACACAATACAAAACTAACATTGAAAGATTTGCAAAATTATCAACCATATATATCAAGGATAGGCGTGAGAAGGTGAAACAGAAACGGCAAGAGCACTAAAGTTCTTCTATTTAGAAGCACTTCCTGTGGACGATTGATGGGCCAGATTCATCATATTCCTGCTTGGAGATCCACATCTGTTGGAAGGTGGAGAGTGAGGCCAAGATGGAACCTCCGATCCATACAGAGTACTTCCTCTCTGGTGGGGCAATGATCTTGATCTTCATGGTTGATGGTGCGAGGGCAGCAATTTCCTTCTGCATTCTGTCAGCAATACCTGGGAACATAGTCGTACCTCCAGACAAGACGGTGTTGGCATACAAGTCCTTACGGATGTCGACATCGCACTTCATGATGGAGTTGTATGTGGTCTCGTGGATACCGCTTGATTCCATACCAATGAATGAGGGTTGGAAGAGGGTCTCTGGGCACCTGAATCGTTCGTTGCCAATGGTGATCACCTGACCATCAGGAAGTTCGTAGCTCTTCTCCAAGCTTGAGCTGGTGGATGCAGTGAGCATTTCCTGTTCGAAGTCGAGGGCGACATAGCAGAGCTTCTCCTTAATGTCACGAACGATTTCACGTTCTGCGGTGGTGGTGAAAGAGTAGCCACGCTCGGTCAAGATCTTCATCAAGTAGTCAGTAAGATCACGTCCAGCCAAGTCGAGACGAATGATGGCGTGAGGAAGGGCGTAACCTTCGTAGATTGGGACAGTGTGGCTGACGCCATCACCAGAGTCGAGGACAATACCAGTGGTACGACCAGAGGCGTACAATGAGAGGACAGCCTGAATGGCGACGTACATTGCAGGGCTGTTGAAGGTTTCGAACATGATCTACAAAAAAACAAAAATATAGTTAAACAATTGTTTATTTACAGCTATAAAAATATCGTAAAACTTGTAATTGCACCCGAAAACCCTGCGCAAAAAACGCTGTCGAAAGACTTCAGAAACGCCCACACTATTGTTTACGGGAACAATAGAACGGGTGGCGTCTACATATGAAGAGGGCGTTGTCACATGGTAGGAGACTATTCGTCAAAATGTGGTCTTTGGCTGCCTTATAAATAAACAGAAATTGCCCCCTGACTAACGCTGATAAACATTTAGGAATTTTAACATGTTATTTGTAAAAAAACTGGGCTAACACAAAAACACTTCCCAAATGAAACATCTTCCTTTGCAAATTTCAGGTGGGTACTTCCGTCATGGGCGTTGGCCTAAAATATTTTTCCTCTGGACGTAAAAACGTAATAAGAACAGGGCCTATTAAACTGTTTGAAAAGCAGGCAAACAACGGTGACAAATCTTAATAGAGTTTCTTGCAGTCAGCGAAATTCTGGGCGTAGCCCTAAAAATTCATCATCACTCACCTGGGTCATCTTTTCTCTGTTGGCCTTTGGATTCAATGGAGCTTCTGTGAGAAGTACTGGGTGCTCCTCTGGTGCAACACGAAGTTCATTGTAGAAAGTGTGATGCCAGATCTATAAAACAAGGAGCAAAATTTTTCAGAACTCGGCCTAACATAAACTCCAACAAACAGTGAAATTTCTTGAAAGAATGAGCAGTTGATATAGCTAGATATATGTGTTGAAAGGATTTACCTTCTCCATATCGTCCCAGTTAGTGACAATTCCGTGTTCAATTGGGTATTTCAAGGTAAGGATACCTCTCTTGCTCTGGGCTTCATCACCAACATATGAATCCTTCTGTCCCATACCAACCATGACACCTTGATGTCTTGGCCTTCCTACGATGGATGGGAAAACGGCCCTAGGAGCGTCGTCTCCAGCGAAACCAGCTTTGCACATACCAGATCCATTGTCAATGACAAGAGCTGCAACATCTTCATCACCCATGTTGATAGATTTTGTGTTTAACTAAAGTCGACGAGTAGTACTAAATAGTCTGTGACCTGACCGTTTCGAAGTTTCACTTCAAATAGGATGATCTAAGGTTGTGCACGGCGATATCTATAGGATGGCCATGTGAAAAAGTTGTCGTGCGTATGACCATATAAGGTAATTTCCTGTAGCTGATCCTATTGTTTGTTTACGCACCATGTTTTACATACCTAACAAGGATGTAACGGTCGGCCTTCTGCATTCACTCAAAAGGGTCATCCCCATCTAATGAATTGGCGTACTCTGATTGGACAGCTTAAAAATTTCGCCTTTCTTATTGGCTTAGTCAACAAATGATTGACTTTCAAAATTCTTTCTCAATACAGGTGCTTTCGACACAGCCACATCAAACAATACGTTCGTGGTGAATAGCCGCCCTTTGTTAGGCCACTGCCCACAAGGAAATCGTTC